GAATATGATGAGAAATTTTTGTTGCCGGGTAAGTAACAAAAAGGTGTTTGGTAACCCAAAATTTTGCAGGAAAACTTGGATTAATTTTACTAAGATATGTTTGGTTGATTGTAAAAAAATGATGAAAATATTTACTGAAATTATCTTTTTCCACACCTAAACAATGACTCACCAATTGAGGTTTGATAAATGTACTTTGATAGAGGGCATTTTAATCACAACAAAGTGTCAAGAATTTGTCACTGAATTGGCAAAAAAAGGTAATCACCTCTAAGATTGCAAAATTTTTGCACCCATTCATGAACAAAGTTAAAACACGGCAAGCTTTTTTTCTTGGACACCTTTTCTTAATCCTCCTACCAAACATTGCCTATTATTTTTCCTATTCTATTTTTTTGGCTAATTTTTTTTCCCTACCAAACAGCCGTGTTAAATGGACATTTGCCAATGCAAATTTTAGTATATAGAATTATAAATCTTATTTATTTTTTTATTTGGCATCCTATTTTTTATTTTATCTTTTGCAAAATTTGCGTTTAATTTTATATAATGTGACACGACATCCGATGAACTCTTTCTAGATAAAGAGAAACTGAGTGCAATTTTCTTACAAGAACACTGTAGAAACAATTATTGGTTCTTGTAGATTAGTAAATAGCATGATAGTATTGAATTCTTCTGGTGTTAAATAGACATTTGTCAATGCAAATCTTAGTATATAGAATTATAAATCTTATTTTTTTTAATTGGCATCTTATTTATTTTTTTTGTGCAAAATATAAGCTTAATTTAGTGCCATTATCACGCTAATTGCTTGATGTTTCCCTTGCGCTTAAAATTAACATTTTAAAACACTCATGATTTTTATTATACGTTTATTGAAGATTTTTTTTCCAAAAAAAGATAAAAAGTGAAATAATCAAATATTCAAATTGTTGAGATATATAGTCTCACATTGGTTGTATGAACAACTAATGTGGAGTTTATAAAGTCTTGGGCACTCCCACCCTTTGAGCTAGCTTTTGGAGTGGTGTATCTCAAAGTTCTTTACATGGTATCAGAGCTTCATGTCCCGAGTTCAAACCTCGTCGCCTCTCACTTTACCTTAACACAAGCAAGTTGGGCCTGTTGCATTGTCCAATCTTCAAGCCCGATTGACTCTTTTATAAGACTTTGGGCATTCTCACTTTTAGAACTAACTTTTGGAGTGGTGTATCTCAAAATTCTTTACACTCGAATAAACAAATTGTCCATGAGGTTCCCGAAAGTGTTATATGTGGTCAATTTGATCCCTCCGTCCACATACCTTAGTTAATGTTCTCGGAAGTGACGTATATTTAAGTGCTATATATGTATACTATACACACATATCTTCAAACGGTATCCCTCTTTACTCAGGAGAGCGAATTTTTTCATGTGAAAAAGTGATCATTTGATTATGTATTTAATCACAACTCATCATTAGTGATGAGAGAAGAGAGAGAAAAAAAAGAAAAATATATAATTTTTAAATAAATAATTATGATCAAATAACATAATCACTTTTTTACTTAAGAGAATCCCTTCCCTCTTCTCTCACCTTTCCCTTCTCATAGAAACTAAAAGCTGCGTCAGATGGAAAAATGTTTCGTCATCCTATTCAACCTTATGCAAGCCCATCATACATTATACTATGGAAATTTAAGTTTTTTTTATAAATAAAAAAGTTAGAAGAATAAAAGCAAAAAAAAAATAAATTTAAACTATAAATTATATGGTCACAGACTCACAGAGGTTTTAATATGAATATGATATCATGATCTAATAATTTCAGAAACGTAAATTATTAGATCCAAATAATTTTATGCGTAAAAAAAAAAAAAAAGGATAAAAAGATGATGTGATGTTGTTTTCAAGCAACACGAGGCAGCTAACTGTACCAGCATATTTGGAAAAAGTAACAATCAATGGTGACAAACTGACAATCACCCGTTAATCAAAGAGACAGTGACCAAAATGTTACGTTTTGATAAAAAAATTATTAGAATATCATGCGAATATTAAAATTTTTCAAATTGCTACGCGGCATAATTCTCTACTCAGTGTAGCAAATTATGCATGCAAATAATTCGCTACACAGTATAACGAAATATGCCACGTCAGAATGCACAGAACCAAAAAGTGCCATGTGTCAAAATTATTGAAATTCGCTAGTGTAGCGAATTTCAACATTTTGACACATGGCACTTTTTGGTTCTGACGTGGCATATTTTGTTACACTGTGTATCGAATTATTTGCATGCATAATTCGCTACTCTGTGTAGCGAATTATGCCGCGTGTCAGTTTGAAAAATTTTACTGTTCGCTTGACATTCTGGTAAATTTTTTACCAAAACGTGACAAAATGATTACTCTCCCTTGAGCCAACGCATGGGCCCATTCTGTTTATCATAAAGCTTATCCACAATTTGATTGGTTGTGATATACGGTGTCAGAAGCAAGTACTCCCCAAATTTTTGAATTCAAAATCAATATTAACAACATTTTTATTACAAACTAATTAAGGTAAGTGATACATAAATCTGAATAAAAGTTAGAGTAAATACTTTTTTTTGATCCTCAGTAAATTTTACTATGCCCGTTTTAGTTCCTAACAAATAAAAAGGCTCATCGTGATCCCTAAAATTTTAAAATGAACCTATTTAGTTGAAATCGTGGTCCTTCACAAATTCAAAAAAGACTCATATTAGTCCCTAAAAGGACAAAATGGGTCCATTTTGAATTTTTAGGGACCACGATGTGTCTTTTTATTTTCTAGGGACTAAAGCGGGCATCGAGAAATTTGCTGAGGACCAAAAAATATATTTACTCTAAAAGTTTTGAATTTCGATATTATAAAAATAATTTTTATGTGTAAATTATATTGAAATATATATTATTTGTTACATTTAATTTTACTGTATTAAAAATTATTTATATCAAAAACATAATTAAAGTCTGTATATAAAAAAAAATTATTTTCTCTAAAAGTTGAATTTATTACATGGGCGTTGCTTTTCTTCCGTTATTGAAAAAATATCATTTTCCAGCGGACTCAAACATCAAAGTAATAGTGATTAAAGTGTCATTGTTTACCAACTTTTTTATCTAAATGTCACACGAAGAGTCTTATTTTTCAATCTGCCACGGGGACAAGTTCACAACTCGGTGTAGCGAACTAGTTTTTGCTGACGTGTCAAATTTCTAGTGGATAACAAATATCAAATTAAAAAAAAAGGTTTGAAGGTCGCTACATACGGTAGCGAACTTGGTTAAACCAAGTTCGCTACCGTATGTAACGAACTTGCTGTCAACTAGAAATGTGACACGTCAGCAAACCGAGTTTGCTACACCGGGTAGCGAACTCGCCCCGTGGCAGATTAGAAAATAAAACTGTTCGCGTAGTATTTAGGTAAAAAAATAAATGAACAGTGATATTTTGATCATTGTTCCAACCTCAAACGGACCCATCACTTCAAAAATTTAAAAAATAAAAATAAACTCAGTACAAACTTTCATGAGTCTATAGCAGAAAAGTTCAATTTTTCTTGTGGCATAAAAATTGCTTTCCCCTTTTTACATTCATGAATAATTTATGGGATTTATAACTATCATGTTATATGAATGAGTAGATATTTCTAGCATATTTATCGAATTTTGTGATATTTTTGAAAAAAAAAATCCGAGGGCCCCAACTTAGTGTTTCTTGACATGATGTATCCGTTTTTCTGTAACTATAATTAAAAATCCCATAATTTATATACGTTAACATAAATGCTAATTATTATGAATTTTATAATTCTCATGTTATATATGAGAATCGAAATCTCATATTATAGAAACAAAAATCACGTGTGATCTATATATTAGAAAAAATCATGTGCGAAATCTACGTTAGCATAAAAATCGAAAGGTGTATAGAAATTATGATGCATGAAAATTATAAAACTCAATTAGTATAATTGTTAGTAATAGCAAGCAAGCAAGACAAGAGTGGATGCTTTTTGTGTTGAACGAAAAATAAAGAAAAAAATATTAAAATAAATAGTTATAACATTATTACTTTTAATTCAATCTTATATGGTTATAAATTTATGATATTATTATATATATTTTCTAAAGAGTGAAGTACCTTTTGAGTTCTAAAAAAAATCGACTCGTGGCTCTTCTGTAATTCAAAATCTACTCATGGATCTTCTTTGAATTTTAGAGGGACAACGATTTCAACTAACTAAGTGCCTGTTTGGATATTCTCTTTTTTAAGTTAGAAGCTACTTATAAGTATAAACTAGGTCAAACAGATTTTGGAAAAGCTCTTATAATGAAAAACTCTTTTTTTATAATGAAGAAAAAAGATGAAAATTAAAAGCTCCTAAGAGAAGCTTTTTTTTAAGCTCTTATCTGTTTTTCTTGAATTGTGTGCTTTTTTTTAAAATAAAGAGTTATAAAGATAGAGAAAGATAAATTTCTTGAAATATGTGCTTTTAATTAACTTTTAAGCTAAAACTTTTATGTGATTACCAAATAGCTTTTAGCTTCTTTTTTTAGCTTTAGCTTATAAGTAGCTTCTAACTTAAAAAGAAGAGGATCCAAACAGGCTCTAAGTCTATTTTAAATTTCAATTTTTTTTAAGAAATTAAAATAAGCCGCATAGTTTTTATTATAACCCAAAAGTACTTTATTCGTTTTTAAATCTATTTCCAAGCAATACTGTGGAAAAGGAGGCTCATTTCGTCTCATCTCGTCGACATTAAAATTTGCGGCGTTTTATCGGCTCACGTGTTTTTAGATTTTCTCGTTTATTAATTTATTTTATACGTTGAATAATTAATGATAACTTTTTTGAAAAGAACAACTATATTATTTAAAATTGAAAATACCTTACTAGATATAGTAAAGCATTTATATTATTTTTGAAAAGAACAACTAACATTATATATATCTATAGCGGAGGCATTGTCTCTTCATATCAAACTACCAAAATGGAATTTGAAACGTGGATTATAGCTTCGTTGGTTCTTTTGTTGCCAACTATGGTTTGGTTCTTAGTCACAACACTGTCCAAATCCAACACTTCTTCTTCTACCACCGCTATTCCAAAAGCTTACCCAATCATTGGTTCTGTGTTCTCCATTGCGGCGAACAAACACCGCCGAGTCCAATGGATCTCCGACATACTCAACAAAACACCGTCCTCCACCTTCGTCCTCCACCGTGCCTTCGGTTCCCGGCAAGTCTTCACGGCGAACCCCGCCGTGGTCCAACACATTCTGAAGAACAGCTTCCCACTCTACAACAAGGGATACACCTTGAGCCGTGCCCTCGGCGATTTCCTCGGCAACGGAATCTTCAACGCCAACGGCGAAAACTGGAAGTTCCAACGACAAATCTCAAGTCACGAATTCAACACCCGATCACTTCGGAAATTCGTTGAAACAGTCGTCGACGTTGAACTCTCCGATCGTCTCTTCCCCATTCTCTCCAAAGCCCAAAAAACAACACTCGTTATCGATTTCCAAGACATTCTCCAACGCTTCACCTTCGATAACATATGCAAAATCGCTTTCGGCTTCGACCCTGAGTACCTCATCCCTTCCCTGCCGGAAAAAACCGCGTTCGCCAAGGCTTTCGACGACGGAACAAGCCTCAGCAGCGAGAGGTTCAACTCCGCGATTCCTTTGTTCTGGAAGATGAAGAAGCTCCTCAACGTTGGATCCGAAAAACAACTGAAGAACGCAATCTCCGAAGTGAGAGGCTTGGCGAGAAAAATCACAAGAGAGAAAAAGCAAGAGCTAAAAGAAAAAGCGACGCTTGAAACCGTTGATGATCTTTTGTCACGGTTTTTGAGTTCAGGTCATTTGGATGAAGAGTTCTTAATAGACATAGTGATAAGCTTCATACTTGCAGGTAGGGACACAACCTCTGCAGCACTCACGTGGTTCTTTTGGCTTCTCTATAAGCACCCGCACGTGGAGCACGAGGTTCTCAAAGAGGTTAATGAAAAATCAGAGGCACCGGTTTATGATGAAGTTAAAGACATGGTTTACACTCACGCTGCGTTGTGTGAGAGCATGAGGCTTTACCCGCCGGTCCCTGTGGACACTAAGGAGGCTGTCAACGACGACGTTTTGCCAGATGGAACTTTTGTTAAGAAAGGGACGAGGGTTGCGTATCATATCTACGCTATGGGAAGATCCGATAAAATATGGGGTTCGGATTGGGCCCAGTTTCGACCCGAGAGGTGGCTGAATCGGGTTGAGGGGAAATGGAGCTTCGTTGGGGTGAGTCCTTTTGCTTATCCCGTGTTTCAGGCGGGTCCCAGGGTTTGTTTGGGTAAGGATATGGCGTTCTTGCAGATGAAGAGAGTGGTGGCTGGTGTTATGAGGCGGTTTAGGGTGGTGCCGGCGGTGGAGGAAGGGGTGGAGCCGGTGTACACTGCGCACCTAACTTCTCTGATGAAAGGTGGGTTCCCTGTAAGGATTGAGAACCTTAGCTAAGAGAGATGAAATAAGTAAAAGTAACTACTTACGTTCCAGCATGTTCGGATATTGCTTTTATGATTTTAACTTTGGTTAAATTAAGTTGCACTCCACATGTTTAATGGGGGTGCCCTTAATTAATCATATATATATTTATTTAGAGAAATGATCCGTTTACAAATTTTTTGTGCAAATTTTTTCAAATTACACTATCTTCTCTCGAAAGAAGATAGTATAACTAGTGTTCTTCCGGAAGAAGATAGTGTAATTTGTAAAAGTTTGTAAACAAAAAAGTTGTAAATATAACATTTTCCTCCGTATATTTATATTGATACCTAATGATATGATATCCACTCTCAGGTGCTGTTATTTGCGTTTACATCATCGAATGATAAATATTTACTTGTCATATATTTGTGAACAACGTTATACTATTTGTTGGATATATTAATAATGGGTTCGCTTTTTCTGCAGTTACTGCAGATAAGTTATATGCAGTAAGCTCAATACGACGTCGTTTTGGACGGAAATCATGGTGTTTTTGTAATTTTAATTTATTTCAGGATTATAATAGTCTTTATATTTATAATTTTTTAAAATTTCAATACCAAAACGACGTCGTTTTGGAAATAAATGCAGATAACTTATCTTTTTTTTTTTCTGGAGTTACTCAACCCTAATTATCTCTTTGAGACGAGTTGGCTCCCTCCGGTATCCCCACGAGCTTCGACTCTTTGAGCCGGCTATGGGACTAATCCGGAGTGCGGGGGAACAGTGATGGCTAAAGGTTCAGCCCCCTCCCCGCAGATAATTTATCTGCATTAACTGCAGAAATATTTTTTCCATTAATAATATAGTCCAATAATATATTTACATACAAATCCATTATAGTTAATAAATTAATACTCTGATTCAATTTATTAACCATGGTTTATTAACCTTAGCTGAGTTAGTTACTATTCTGTTTGTATAGTTGAGTTGTAACCAAGTTAGTTACTATTCTGTTTTTTTTACTTTTGTTCTCAGACATAACATCACCATATAGGGTGAATGTCGTGTGACTCATAGAGATAACTTTACTTTTCTGATGAATAGAGTTTCTGACTTTCTCTTCCTCCTTATCGTTTCTTCTTGATTTGTCTCTGATTCATCTTCTGCATGTGATGCAATATGGTATCTAGAGCATTTTTTCGCATTCTGATTTCCGCACTCTGATCTTTCTTCTCCGATCTAGAGATCGTGATTTTTTTTTCTTCAGATCTACAGATAGTGTTTCTCGTCTTTCATGGCGCTTCACGGTGCTGATGATTCTCCCAGCCCTTACTTTCTTCATCATTCAGATAGTCCAGGTCTGGTTTTGGTCTCTCAATCCCTCACCGGAGACAACTACTCATCCTGGAGTCGCGCCATGACCATAGCTCTATCTGTGAAGAACAAATTAGGGTTTGTGAATGGTACACTTCTCAAACCTGATGGAACTAATCCTGCTCTTCTCAGATCTTGGACTCGCAACAATGATATGGTAATTTCCTGGATTCTTAACTCTGTCTCCAAGGAAATTTCTGCTAGTATTCTTTTTTCTGATTCGGCTTTGGAGATCTGGAACGATCTTAAAGATCGTTTTCAACAACGAAATGGACCAAAGATCTTCATGCTTCGACGAGACTTGGCTAATCTGAGTCAAGAACAACAGGCTGTTGGAGCATATTTCACTCGTTTGAAGGCTCTCTGGGAAGAGTTGAGTACCTTTCGCCCTTCCTGTACATGTGGCTCTTGCACCTGTGGTGGTGTTCAACGACTACTGGAATATTTTCATATGGAATATACAATGGCTTTCCTCATGGGATTGAATGACTCCTTTGCTCAGATCCGAGGTCAAATCCTTCTCAATGATCCTCTGCCTCCGATCAACAAAGTGTTTTCGTTGGTGATGCAAGAAGAACATCAACGTCAAATTTTACCTCATGGTTCTGGTGTTGAATCCACCAACACAATGACCTTTGCAGCCAAACTTGAAGGTCAGAACAAAGGCTTCAAGAAGGAACGCCCTTTCTGCACCCACTGTCAATATCATGGACATACTGTGGATAAATGTTATAAGCTCCATGGATATCCCCAGGCTTCAAGCCTAGGCAGAAGAAATCATCATTCTCTTCCAATATGGCTGAAGTGCATACTTCTCATGTTGATGCTGCACATCACACACAAAACTTTCATCCGCTGAATAATGTTCTTCAAAACATTGACTCAAATAGTTGTGGTCAACTCCTGAGTTTGCTTTCCAATCACATGGCTTCCATTAACAAGACCTCTGATGTAGTTGCTGGTCCTGTTACTGCTTTCAACACAGGTACCTGTTTTTCCATTTCCACCAATCCAATATTTTCGGATAAAGATATTTGGATAGTTGATTCAGGAGCTTCTAAACACATCTCTGCTCATGCTCATCATTTTTTATCTCTTCGGCCAGTTCATGGTTGCACTGTCACATTACCCAATCACACTAGTATACCAGTTTCCTTGGTTGGTGATGTTCGTTTCAATTCACAGTTGGTACTCAGAGATGTTCTATATGTTCCTCAATTCAAGTTCAATTTGATGTCTGCTAGTGCATTATCCACTGACTCCCAACTTACAATTACTTTCTCTGCTCATACATTTGCTATCCAGGAGGAGAAGTCCAACAAGATGATTGGCAAGGGTAGCAAGTTGGAGGGGTTGTATGTACTATATACTAGGACCCCTGTTAGTACTGAATTGTTTGATACTGCTGTTAATACTGTTTCTGTGCATACTTGGCATCATAGATTAGGACATTTATCTGATAGGTGTCTTGTACACATGAAGGATAGAATTCAATGTTCTGATTCACGGTTCAATAATAATAAGAGGCCATGCTATATTTGTCCATTAGCCAAACAACGAAAATTGCCTTTTATTTCTCAAGCACATATTTCAGCAAATCCCTTTGATCTTGTTCATTTAGACATCTGGGGACCCTTCTCCACTGCTGATTGTTCTGGTTTTTGATATTTTTTGACATTGGTGGATGATTGCACTCGTTTTACATGGATTTTCTTGCTCAAACACAAGTCTGATGTGCATGCTATTTTACCTAAGTTTTTTAACTTAGTATCAACACAATTTAGCAAGAAGATAAAAGTATTACGCTCAGATAATGCGAAGGAGCTTACTTTTACTGATTTTCTTAATGATCATGGTGTTATACATCAATTTTCCTGTGTAGAGAGACCTCAACAGAATTCAGTAGTTGAAAGGAAACATCAACACATTATGAATGTGGCACGTGCCTTGTATTTTCAATCAAAAGTTCCTTTACGCTTCTGGTCAGCATGTGTGTCCACGGCTATGTTTCTCATTAATCGTACTGTTTCTTCGGTAATTAACTTCAAATCTCCATTTGAGCTTTTATATGACAAGCCTGTTGATTACTCTACTCTACGAGTTTTTGGATGTCTTGCATTTGCATCCACTTTATCTGCTAATCGCACTAAGTTTCAGCCTAGAGCTAGAGCTTGTGTTTTCTTGGGATATCCACCAGGTATGAAAGCTTATAGACTGTATGATTTGAACACTCATCAGTTGTTCACATCCCGTGATGTGGTTTTTCATGAAGAAGTTTTTCCTTTTCAAGGTATTGCTCAAGGTTCTTCACAAGTTGATTTATTTCCTGACTTGGTTTTGCCTTGCAAGGATCTTGATTCTCAGGAACATGTTCCAGTTCCAATAGAACCTGCACAGTTCCATCATAACACAGCTGATAATCCTACTCCACCTATAATTACACGCAGATCTTCTCGGATATCTAGGGCTCCTCAATATCTGCAAGATTATCATTGCAGTCTCTTAACTCACACAACCACTGATGCAGCAGAGACATTATATCCTATGTCCTCAGTCATTTCATATAACCAATTATCTCCACATTACCGGAATTTCATTTTGAATGTTTCATCTCATTATGAACCTCACTTTTATCACCAGGCAGTCAAGCTTCCTCAATGGTGTGCAGCTATGGAAGCTGAACTGAGTGCTATGCAAGCTAACAAGACATGGTCTATAGTTGCATTACCACCTGGCAAGCTACAAGCTGAAACTCAAGGCTGATGGTTCACTTGATAGACATAAAGCTCGTCTTGTGGCCAAAGGTTTTACACAACGAGAAGGCATAGATTTCATTGATACATTTTCACCGGTAGCCAAGCTTGCTACTGTTAAGACTCTTCTTGCAATTGCTTCTATGCAAAACTGGCATCTACATCAATTAGATGTCAACAATGCCTTTCTAAATGATGAATTATTTGAAGAGGTGTACATGGATCTACCTCTTGGCTATTCCATTCAGGGGGAGAAATTTGCTCCTGGCACTAAGCCCGTATGCAGATTACACAAAGCCATCTATGGGCTATGTCAAACATCAAGACAGTGGTACAACAAGTTCTCTATAGTCCTTTTACAACAAGGTTTCATTCAGTCCAAATCTGATTACTCCTTATTTACTAAGGGTCATGGTTCCTCTTTTGTTGCCTTGTTAGTATATGTAGATGATATAATCATCACTGGTTCTTCTGTTGATGCCATTGATGCCCTGAAATCTTTTCTTCACACTCAGTTTAAGCTCAAGGATCTAGGTACTCTTAAATATTTCCTAGGCCTTGAACTAGCTAGATCCCAGAAAGGAATTAGTCTATCTCAACGTCATTACACATTGCAGCTCCTAGAAGATACTGGATACCTTGCTTGTAAACCGGTTCAGACCCCCATGGATCCATGCATTCAATTAAATGCTACTGAAGGTGAACCATTGGAGGATGTTTTCCAGTACCGTCGCTTAGTGGGCAAACTTTTATATCTCACTCTTTTCAGGCCAGATATTACGTTTGCTGTCCATAAGCTCAGCCAGTTTGTATCTCAACCTCAGACCACACACTTACAGGCTGTCTATCATTTTCTCAAGTACTTAAAAGGTAAACCTGGCAAAGGTATCTTCTTTTCAT